CCCAAGCCCTTTTATTTTGAGATAGGATCTCACTAAATTACTTAGGGGCTAAATTGCTAAGGCTAGGAACTTGTGATCCTCCTGCCTCAGCCTCCAGAGGAACTGGGATTACAGGCTGCGCAACCAAGACCAGCACTGTTTTCTTTGAAAGAGTTGATGTTTTAAAAACTGGCTTAATGTTTATAAAACGTTTTAATGTTGGGCTGGGGATGTAGCTCAAGCGGTAACGCGCTCACCTGGCATGCGCAGGGTGCTGGGTTCGATCCTCAGCACCACATAAAATTAAAAAAATAAAGATGTTGTGTCCACCGAAAACTGAAAAATAAATATTAAAAAATTCTCTGTCTCTCTTAAAAAAATGTTTTAATGTTCACACCTCAATGTTTTTAAAACTTGAAAAGATCAATGATTTAAAAATTAAAAGTAAGTTTTAGTTAAACTTCAAGATTGCCTCAGAAGAAATGAACTCTACTCTGTTACAGTGGGTAGGGAGGGACACTTACAGTCTGAGCTGATGCGATCTGGGCAGCCAGCAGTGCAAGTAGTAGGCTGTGTGGGCCAAACAGAAGTGAATCATGGTGACCCTGGCCCTGGAGCACCTGGAGCAATGCAAGGATGATCAAGAACAATTCCCAGCAGGGCTGGGGATGTGGCTCAAGCGGTAGTGCGCTCGCCTGGCATGCGTGTAGCCCAGGTTCGATCCTCAAAGATGTTGTGTCCGCCAAAAAACTGAAAAATAAATATTAAAAAATTCTCTCTCTCTCAAAAAAAAAAAAAAAAAAAGAACAATTCCCACCAGGCTTTCAAACTACTTCTGTTCATCACCTGCCATTGCAGGACAGACTGCTCTGGCAGGAGCACACTCTGACTTAACTCTTCTGTGACTTTGAAGGTCTAGAGTCCAGTCTGAGCTCAGGCTGGCTGGGTTCACAGTGAACTAATGAAACTGCTGGTTATTCAAAACCAATCAAGAGTGTGTTGACAAGGGACAAAGACAGCTTCCTTTATGCTGAAAGATCATCTTCCCGCTGCCCCTCCCCATCCCCCAGGCAGAATCTGAAACCTGAACTCCTCCCTCAGGACACAGAGGGGCTCAGGGCTTTGTTCATCTCTGGCTCTGAAGTCAGTTTCAGGACCACAGGCAGCTCCCCTGAGCCCCCACATCATGCTCTCAGCCTTACCGTCTTCCCACTTAATCTCCCTTGGGGAGCAGGCCTGAAACCTGACATGGGCAAGGTCCAGGACTATACCAGGTATCAGCTGAACCCCTGGCCCCTGCACTGCTGTCCTGGAGAGTAGGCGCAGTGGCTTCCCAGCAGGGCCCAGGGTACTGTGGGAAGGATGCCTTCACCACCACTATAATGCAGAAGGTAGTTTGGATGGGGATAGGAATAGGGACGACAGGGTTGGGTATAGCCCCAAGTGAACCCTGGTATTATCCTTCGGTATGATCACTGAAGGGGGAGCATTTAAATCCTTCTTACCTATTAGCTCATTTTTTTCCCATACTGGGAATTGAGCCTAGGGTGCTCTACCAGTCAGCCACCCTTAGCTCTTCTTTTGCTAAGGCTGGCTGGGGTCATGGCTCAGTGGTAGAGCGCTTACCTAGCATGTTTGAGGCACTGGGTTTGATTCTCAGCATCACATTTAATAAATAAAGGTCCATCAACAACTAATAAGTTTTGTTGTTGTTGTTGTTTTTGGTGCTGGGAATTGAACCCAGGACCTTGTGCATACAAGGCAAGCACTCTACCAACTGAGCTATGTCCCCAGCCCTAATAAAATATTTTTTAAAAATTGCTGAGGTTGGGCTGGGGATGTGGCTCAAGCGGTAGCGCGCTCACCTGGCACGCACGCAGTGCTGGGTTCAATCTCAGCACCACATACAAATAAAGATGTTGTGTCCGCCGAAAACTAAAAAATGAATATTAAAAAATTCTCTCTGTCTCTGTCTCCCTCTCTCTCTCTCTCTCTTAAAAAAAAAAATTGCTGAGGTTGGCCTGGAACTTGCAATCCTCCTGCTTCAGCCTCCCTAGTTGCTGGGATTATAGGCATGCACCACCAAGCCCAGTTTATGTTTTGAGATAGGGTCTTGCTAAAATGCAGAGACTGGCCTTGAATTTGTGATCCTCATGTCTTAGCCTCCCAAGTCCCTGGGATTATAGGCATGTACACCACTGCGCTCAGCTGAACTCATTCCTTAATGCCATGCTGACCATTCTGACTGTTCTTTCCTTTATTTTCTATGCACAATTAGCACTGTCCCTGTGATCCCTATCATTATGCCTTTTTTTTTTTTTTTTTTTTTGAGATGGTGGTCTCATCATGTTGTACAGGCTGGCATTGAACCTGCTGGGCACAGGAGATGATCCTGCCTCAGCCTTCAAAGTAGCTGGGATTACTGTGTGTTTGGAAATGGCCTCAGATCTCTTTCTTAATTCTTACCCCAAAGATTTACTTAAATGAAGCTGTGCTTACTTTGTAGCTGATCTTTCTCTCTTGTTTTGCTCTTCTAATCAGTCCTGCCTCATCACCATCATCAGTATTATTCTTTTCCTCAAAGTCTTCAGCTTGCATCCATTTTAACACAGTGGTACAGGCAATATGCTGAGCACTTGGCCATGTATTATCCTGAGAAATAATCTTCAGGATTGGGGCAGAGCTCAGCAGTAGAACTTAGCATGCTGAGGCCCTCCCTGGGTTCCACCCCCAGCACCACAAAATAAAAACTTACTCAAAATAACTGAGATTGGTTCTGTCTCTATCTTCATTTTACAGTTGAGAAAACTGAAAGAGGTAATTGAATCAAGGTCACACAAATAAGAGGTCTATTTATTTATTTAAGTACTAGCGATTGAACTCAAGGGGTCTTTACCATGGAGCTACATCCCAGCCTTTGTATTTTTTGAGACAGGGTCTCAGTAAGTCTCTCAAGTTCTTGCTAAATTGCTGAAGCTGACCCTGAACTTGGTGATCCTCCTGCCTCAGCCTCCCCAAATCTCTGGGATTACAGGTGTGCATCACCACACCAGGTGCTTCTGGGTTCTTGGGATGAGAGGCTGCCACTTTCCCTGTCTGAAGCCTGAGGCAGCCGTTGTAAAGCTTTTCAGCTTCTGTGATCCTTTGAGAAAATCTGATCAATCTCTCCTCCTAATTACATATGTTCTTTGGTTCTGTTTCTCTGGAGATTCCTGCCAATACAGGAAGTCTGGGAGAGAGTAGCAAGGGATTATGAGAACTAATCCTCACAGATCTTAGGAGGATGTCATTGGGAACTCTGTAATTTTGATAACTTGAGAAATAGCATCAGAAGCTCACAATGTAGAATTATGGTAGAATCTAGCAGGAGAAATAACTGAAGAGGTGAGGAGTAGTTGCCTTTAGGCAGCTGGGGGAGGGGATGGAATGGTGGTTGGTTTTCATTGTGGGCCTTTTCCATGTTATGATTTCTATAGGTGGACAAGTTTGGTAAAATTGTATTACAGTTTTGTTTTTTGTTTTTCCAGTGTTGGGGATCAAACTCAGGGCCTCATGCATGCTAGGCAAGCACTCCACCACTGAGCTACTTCCTCACCACCTCAACTTTTATTTTATTTTATTTTTGGCAGTTCTGGAGATCAAAGCCAGGCCTGCATATGCTAGGAAAGTGCTCCACCAGGAAATGCACTCCGTCCCCAATACTTTAAATCAGATATCTAGCATGACTTCATTAGGGTTTAAGAAAGATTGAATAGAATGATGTTACAAAGATATATGTAGATTATAAATCTCACTCCATGCAAAATGATAATGTTGGACTGGGGCTATAGCTCAGTGGTAGAGTGCCTGCCTCACACGTGGGGTGCTGGGTTCCATCCTCAGCACCAAATAAATAAATAAAGATATCACGTCCATCTACAACTAAAAAGAAAATTAAAAAAAAAATGATGTCATGATCATGTTGACAAAGAGGTGAAAATACTGTTTTTAAAGACAGGTGTTAGGATTTATATTTGTTAGATGATAATATCCTCTCAGTTAACGATAACCACAATAACACAATCACAAAACTTGAGTGGCATCCATCAAAAATATTGATTTTTGCTTGTGAGTCGGGTCAGCTCGTGGTTACTGACCTGAGCCGGGTTTGGCTGATTCCACCTGGACTTGCTGCCTGTCTGCTCAAGTTTGTTGGGTTTGGCTGGCCTAGGACAGCTGCAGTCACATACTGTATGGTTGGCTGTCCATCTGCTGGGACACCAGCACTCTTCCACGAGTTCCACCACACTCCAGCAGGCTCGCTTGGGCTAGTTTTCATGGCTGGGTGGCAGTCCTGAAAACAGAAGGGTTCGATGCCTCTGCTATGGTTTGAATGTGGTACTAAGTCTCCCAAAAGTTCATGTGCTGGAAGCTTGGTCTCCAGTGTGGCAATGTGAAGGTGGTGGAACCTTTAAAATGTGGGCCCTAGTGGAAGGTAATTAGGTCATGGTGGTCCCTGAGGTGACTTCTCAAGAGAATGGATTGTTATAAAGTAAGGTCAACACTATACAACACTTTATATGTGCTTAGTTCCTTCTGCATGTGCCTGGTTCCCTTTCTGCTTCTCTGCCACCTTGTGATACAACCTGGGACCCTCAGTAGGAAGTCAGCATCATGTTCTTGGAACTCCTGAATTTCTTTTCTTTATAAAGCACCCGCTCTACTGTTCCATTATAGCAACAGGAAATGGACTAAGACAGCCTGTGAGGCTTAGGCTCAGAGCTGGCACCCTATTGCTACTGCCCACATTCTTTTGGGCAAAACAAATCACAAAGAATAGAGAAGGAGATTCCCTCCCTTTATGATAGGAGTTACATATTTATGTTAAAAAGGAGGGGTGGGGAAATAATGCCAATTATGTAATTCATTTAGCATAATCATTATAGACAAATATTGTCCATCTGTTTGAAATGATCACATGGATTTATTGATTTATTTATTAATGATCACATAACTGGATTTATTTTCTTTTTCCTTTGTAGACAACAAGGAAGATGTCAGAGTTTTCCATTTAGAGCACCAACTTCAAGTTCTTACCATGGACAAATCAGAGAAAACTGAAGTGGTTCTTCTTGCTTGTGGTTCATTTAATCCAATCACCAACATGCACCTCAGATTATTTGAGCTGGCCAAGGATTACCTGAATGGAACAGGTAGGAACAGTAACCAAAAGCAATGTAAGTGTTAGCTTGGTGACACATGCCTATAATCCTAGCAGCGTAGGAGGCTGAGGCAGAGGATCAAAGTTTGCCAGTCTCAGCAACTTAGCAACGCCCTGGGGAGACTCTGTCTCAAAACAAAAAATAAAAAGTGCTGGGGATGTGGCTCAGTGGTTAAGCACCCCTGGGCTCAATCCTCAGTACAAAAATAGAAAAGCAATTTAAGGCTAAAGAACCACTTGATTGGGTCTCTCTGTCAGTGTGAACAATTAATCAACAAGGTACAAACATGCTCCCTACTCATTTGCACAGAGACTTAGCCAAAAAAGGGTGAGGAGCTAAATGTAGTGGTGTGTGCATGTAGTCCCAGCACTAGTTCACAACCAGCAAGACTGCCTCAAAACAAACACAAAAGCAGGTAAGGTATGTCCATGGAATGTCTACGCATCTGGCTACTGGCCTATAGAATAAAAATTCAGTTTTATGTATTTAGAGCTCAGTAGAAGCAACAATGATCCTCAGAATGCAAGTTTCATCCAGGTATGATGGTACCCACCTGTGGACCCAGCTATTTAGTAGGTTGAGGCAAGAAGATAGATCACTTGAGCCTGGAAATTCAAGACCAGCCTGGGCCACAAATAGCAAGACCTCATCTCAAAACAAGCAATAACAACAACAACAAAAAAAACCCCTAGGACTGGGGTTGTGGCTCAGTGGTAGAGTACTTGCCTAGCACGGTGAGGCACTGAGTTTGATTCTCAACACCACATATAATTAATTAATTAAAGGTCCATCAACAACTAAAAAAAATATTAAAAAAAAAAAACACACTTGAGCTTTTTTGTTCCCTTATGAAAAAAGGAAACAAAACCTTGCTTTCATTATGGTTATATAATTCCATTTTATCCAGGGATTCATTTTATAACAGGTTTACATCATGCATATAAAAACTGTATCTTTTCCTCAGGCATGGTGGCACGTACCTGTAATCCCAGTGGCTTGGGAAGCTAAAGGAGGAGGATCACAAGTTCAAAGCCAGCCTCATTAATTTAGTGAGGCCCTAAGCAACTTAGGGAGACCCTGTCTCAAAATAAAAAATAAAAAGGACTGGGGATGCACCTCCGTGGTAAAGTGTCCCTGGGTTCAATCCTTAGTACAAGAGGAAAAAAGAGAGAGAGAGAAAGAGAGAAATCATTTGTTATGATTATTCACTTATGTTTCCATACTTCATGGTCACCATGTATATGCTCTAAGAGATAAATAATGTTATAAAAGAGCATGTATATGAAATAAAATGCTCACCTCTCATTTCTCTGGAGGCAACCACTGTTAATAGTTTAAAAATACATTCTTCCAGCCAAATGTGGTGATGCATACCTGTAATCCCAGTGACGCAGGAGGATCACAAGTTGGAGCCAGCCTCAGCAACTAAGCAAGACCCTGAGTAATTTAGGGAGACCTTGTCTCAAAATGAAAAATAAAAAGAGCTGTGGGGTATAGCTCAGTGGTAAAGTGCCCCTGGATTCAGTCCCTAATACCAAAAATAAAATAAAATTCACCCTTCAATCGTTTTTCTGTAGTTTTACATGCAAATATTTGTATATACACACATTTTATTTTGTTGCATAAATCATCAAGCAATTTTCTGTTAGATGCACATGGATGGATGGATGTTCAACCTTAATTAATTCCAATAATCTCAGAACCAAAATTAAAAATTACATATATTTTGCCCCTCACACTGACAAAAGTTTTTAAACTCAATAATGTCCAGTATTAGAGACTGGGGAGAAACGGTCTGCATACACTCTAGGAGGACAATGCAAATCCATTAAAGCTTTTTGCAAGGTAATTTGGCAATACCAATCAAATTGTAAACTGTACAGGCCAGGCGCTGTGGCACATACCTATAATCTCAGCAGCTTGGGAGGCTGAGGCAGGAAGATTACGAGTTCAAAGCCAGCCTCAGCAAAAGTGAGGCACTAAGCAACTCGGCGAGATCCTGTCTCTAAAACACAAAGTAGGGCTGGGTATTCTCTCAGTGGTTGAGTGCCCCTGAGTTCAACCCCCCACCATACCATCATCTCCCCAACTGAAACTCAGTTTCAGTTGGGGAAGATGAAAAAATTAAGGAGTATCCGTTCTGGTGATGGTTGCTTGTGCTTAATGCTGTGGAACTATGCATTTAAAGTTGTTAAATGGTAAGTTTTATGTATGTATATTTTATCATAGTTTCAATCAATTAACAAATCTAAATCACTGTTGTTTTTTTTTAAAAAAAGAAAGAGAATCTGTGATTGCAAAAGTAATATTGATCTGGGTACAGTGGCACATGCCTCTAATCCCAGCTACTGGAGAGACTGAGATAGGAATATTGCAAGTTTGAGGCCTCAGCAACTTAGTGAGACCCTGTCTCAAAATAAGGAAGGGTCTGGGGATGTGACTCAGTGATAGAACACTCCTGGGTTCAATCCTCAGTACTAAAACCAAAATCAAAAAGGGAGCTGGGATGTAGCTCAGTGGTAGAGTGCTTGCCTAGCATGTGGAAGGTCCTGGGTTCAATCAACCCAGTTCCACAAAATAAATAAATAAATAAAAATCATAATATTTTCTGTGCACAAAATTTCTTATTCCTAATTTCCAATCTAACTCTTTATCCAGGAAAATATAGAGTTATCAAAGGCATAATTTCTCCTGTTGGTGATGCATATAAGAAGAAAGGGCTCATCCCTGCCCACCACCGAATCATCATGGCAGAACTTGCCACCAAGACTTCCAACTGGGTGGAGGTGGACACGTGGGAAAGTCTTCAGAAGGAGTGGACAGAGACTGTTAAGGTGCTGAGGTAGTAATACTGAAATTAATATCATTTCTGTGCCTTCTTTTTGCCATGTTTCAATACTGTCTTACATCTGAATGGACAGATTTGCAAAGCTGTCACCAGAGCTGGAAAGACATGGCTGTGCCATTTCCATGGAAGGGCACCACAGGCTATAAAACACAGCACAGAGGTTGGGTGTTCCTTAGCCTTTGTGTCTGTCGTCGTGGTTTGAGATGTCCCCGTGTTTGGTACCCTGCAATATTTGTCAGGAAATTGAGGCAGTCTGCCTGGCCTGTCTGAGCCTCAGGTCAGAAAGGCAGAGTTGCAGAAGGATATTGCTGTCATCTGTCTTCAGTATGAGAGAGAAACAGGGGGCTTCAGGATGAGGAGCTGTAGGTGATGCTTGCTCGGGGACATGGGAATACCACAGACCTCTGTGCTAATACTTTTAAAACTTCCACTTAAGGGTTCAGAAGCCAGAGTAAGTAATATCTAATTATTTCTTTGATTATCTTGAAGGCAAATTTAAAAAGCTTTCTGAAAAAACTTTCTGTTCTTAGAGTTCTGAGCCTTCTGGTTACTGATAGTATGGGGGCGGGGTCAGAGTAAGAAATAGAGGCCACTCTGAGTACTAAAGTGAAGGGGAGTTTAGGTGCTCAGGCACAAGTGTTTAGAAGAGCTGGAAGAGTGGATGCCACCGTGTATTTCAAGGTCCTGCCCCCTCAGTTGCTGTGGGAGATCAGGAAATCAATTCTCCTGCTGCCACCTCTGCGGCCGTTAAGCTGCCTCAGGCTCCAGACGCTGGGGACTGGACAGTGGAGTGTGGAGTCCGCAGCCATGCACACACTTCGAGAGGCTACTTGTCAGGCTGCTCAGCCCCAGAGTAATAATAACCCCTGCCTCCCAGGTCTCTCTCGAGAGTCTCATCATGAAACCCAGTCACATCAGAAGCTGCTGTGAGGCCCTCTGGGCAGTGTGCTTAGGGCAGAGCTGAGCCCTGAGCTGGCAGATGGTGTCCAGCAGGAACTTACCAGGAGGACTCACTTTTCAAGCTTGGCAGGGAAAAGTCTCCTCTGCTTGTTGGCAAAAAATTCTGTAATCAGACCAGGCTCTGAACCTAGTCCTACCTATCTCTCTCTGGCTCTGTGGTAACCTATTACATATTCAGTTCAGCTGTTCAGGAGGGAAGGGATTTAAGAGCACAACGGCCCCTCAGTGAGTCCCACAATGTGGCTCCTGGACCTGAGGTAATGGTACAGTGTGGTAAGGTGGTGGCACCCTCTTCCCACCCCGAATGGAGCTGTGCACACATCTGCCTGTGTGTCTTCCTGTGGGGCCTCTGACCCTTGGCCCTCCAGGTCCTTATCCCTGGCGTGTGGTTCTAGGTCAGTCGTTGGTGGTCAGAAGTGTGGGTCTGAACCAGACTACTGGGTTCAAATGCTGTCTCTGCTATGTACAAGCCCAAAGACTGTGGGCAAAACTAGTGGGCTCCCCTCTTAATGGGGATGACAAATGATTCTGATAAAAAGGGGAGAGTCATCCCACTTCTTTGTGACAACCAAAACATTCATTCAATCAAATTGTTGTCAAGCCGGTGTGGTGGCTCACGCCTCTAATCCTGGAGGCTCAGGAAACTGAGGCAGGAGGCTTATGAATTCAAAGCCAATCTCAGCAAAAGGGAGGTGCTAAACAACTCAGTGAGACCCTATCTCTAAATAAAATACTAAATATAGGGTTGGAATTGTGGCTCAGTGGTTGAGTGCCCTTGAGTTCAATCCCTGGTACCCCCAAAAAAGTTATCAAATACCTCCTATGTTCCAGGGATTCTGCCACAAGGAGAGTTGCATTCCTAAGCCTCCATCTTCCCATTCATTGTGGGGATAATGATATTTATGATATGGGAATGGAGAAGATTTAATCAGACAATTCACACAGAGGTTCTACTGTGATGCGTGGCATAATAAATAATTCATGTTGACTCCTGCTGCTGTGGCACAGACACAAAAAATGGTGATAGACACCATTTGTGTTTTCCTAGGATTGACCTTGTACTGGCCATCCTAATTGGTGGGGTGCTGTGGGTACCAGTGATGAAACATTTTGAATATCACCCCATTTTACCATTAGGTCAGAGACTTAAGCATCTTCAAAGGGACAGTATTTCAGTGGAGCATCATAAGAAAGCAGGAAATACTATTTTATGTTGTTTTATAGACACCACCAAGAGAAGCTAGAGGCTGGCAACTGTGACCACAGGCAGAACTCACCTGTGGTTGAAAGGTCTGGACGGAAGAGGAAGTGCTTGGAACAAAGACAGGATTCTAGTCAGAAGAAATCCCTAGAGCCCAAAACAAAAGGTTCGTAAGTTCCACCAGCACTCCAAAGAGACCAAGACTAGAATAATTCAGATTCCAGAGCTGAGCAGCCGCCCTTGGGATTTCACATCTGGTGCCCAGAAGGTGGCCCTGTTGGCTTCATGAAGGAAGAGAGAGTGAAAGGTGCTCTGTGCTTACTTCTCCTGCAGTGCACTTTAGCTTTTGAGGTGTCCGGGATCATTTTTGGAAATCTGAATCTTATAAAAATTGAACTCTCTTTCCTGAAAAACACATACATATAGTCATTGTAACTGTGGGGGGTTATTGGAGAAGCCAACTCTGAAACTCTGCTTCATTCTTCCTCCCAGGTGTGCCAGAGGTGAAGTTGCTGTGTGGGGCAGATTTACTAGAGTCCTTCGGTGTGCCCAATTTGTGGAAGAGTGAGGACATCTCCCGAATCGTGGCAGACTATGGGCTGGTATGTGTCACTCGGGATGGAAGTGATGCTCAGAAATTCATCTATGAGTCTGATGTGCTGTGGAAACACCAGAGCAACATTCACCTGGTGAACGAGTGGATCAACAATGACATCTCATCCACAAAGATCCGGAGAGCCCTCCGAAGGGGCCAGAGCATTCGCTACTTGGTACCAGATCTGGTCCAAGAATACATTGAAAAGCATGATTTGTACAGCTCTGAGAGCGAAGATAGGAATGTTGGGGTTGTCCTGGCTCCTTTGCAGAGAAACACTTCAGAGGCGAAGTCATAGAAATGCTACAGCTTGACAGTTTGGATCACTCTTCTGGAGATTTTAAACAATCTGGTGTTGTAACTCAGGAAAGAAATCTTTATCTTTCATAAACAAAATTTTAAAAATCTGATAAAAGTCAGTTGGAAATTAAAATAAGATTTATTTTTTCTTTTTATCAGAGTGGTTAAGATGACTGTTTTTAATAAGGCCTTAAAAAAAAAAGAATGTACAAATCACTTTATTTTTAAGAGACTAGTAGTTCACTAAAACCTGAAGAAATATTAATGAAACTAATTCCAAATAAGTACCACACAAGAGAAAACAAAGTGTGAAAAGCAAATGTCCACTCCAGATTCTGATTCTAGCCGGGTACTGCTTAAGAGGCTGAGGCAGGAGGATCACTTGAGCCCAGAGTTCAAGACCAACCTGGCAACACAGCCAGATCCTGACTCAAAAAAAAACAGAATCAACCCCCACCAAGCCTAACTTTAGTTATGAAAGGAATTGACATTTTATATATGCCTATTGCAGGGCTCTCCACCAGGATGGATAAGGGAAGGAATTCTTCATCTTATTTAAATTTTTTTTTTTTTAAGTACTGGAAATTTAACCCAGGAGCCCTCTACCACTGAGCTACACTGCCAGTCCTTTTTTTATTTTATTTTTAAAAATTTTTTTTAGTTGTAGATTATCACAATGTCTTTATTTTTATGTGGTGCATAAAAATATTTTTATGGGTAAGGATCGAACCCAGGGCCTCATGCATTTGAGGCAAGTGCTCTACCTTCGAGCTACAACCCCAGCCCATATTTTTGTTTTATTTTTGATAGAGGGTCTCTAAATTGCTGAAGCTGGCCTTGAATTTGTGATCTTCCTGCCTCGGCCTCTTGAGTTGCTGAGATTACAGGCATATGCTACTGCGCCAAGCCCCAGAGAGAGCTTCTTATGGTTTGTTAAAAACTGTTCTACAATAGAAACAGGATCATGGTTAAATTCCCAACAAAAATAGAATAATTTATTTTTTTATAATTTATATTTATTACCTATACCACTCCAGATGAAGGTTTATAATTCTTCTTCAGAAAAAAAAATACTTATAATTGTGCAATTGTTTAGTCAGATATGAAGCTACAGTTGGAAAAAAGAAAATGTTAAATAAAGTTGACAAATGTTTACTCTACCACACCCAACTTAATCTTTTGTAGGAGTGGGGGTTTATTTACTTATTTTTATGTGATGCTGAGGATCCAACCCAACGCCTCACACATGCTAGGCAAATGCTTGAACCCTGAACCACAATTCCAGCCCTATTTTGTATTTTATTTAGAGACAGGGTCTCACCGAGTTGCTTAGCACCTCGCTTTTGCTGAGGCTGACTGTCTTTGAATTCATGATCCTCCTGCCTCAGCCTCCTGAGCTGCTGGGATTATAGGCCTGCACCACGGTGCCTGGCCAAACTTATCCTTACTAAAGCTGTCCGGCCAACTCGCAAAGACAGGAGAGGCACAAAACCTGGCACCCATGGGATTCAGCCGGAGTCCACTGAGTGAATAAAGGGTCAGAATCTCAGATCATAGAGATGAGGGTCATTTCCTCTACCCACTTGACTTTCGGAGCTTAAAGTTTGAAGTAGACCTGAAAAATAACCATCTACAGGCAGATGAAACTATCAAACTTGCTTTAAGTTCCAGAAAAGCTCACCTCATGGCTGGAGATATGGCTCAGTTGCTAGAATGCTTGCTTTGTATGCACAAGGCCCTGGGTTCAATACCCAGCACCACAAAAAAAAAAAAAAAACTCACATCATTCATCAGAAGCTTCTTCCCACTTCCAAGTGCCCACACTCTGTTTATCTATACTGACATCAGGACCCCCTGGGAATGCAGGCAGGGGACATTCCCAGGACATGTATTGTCTAGGAAAGAATTTTATCGTTACACTATTTATGGAATAGCAGCTTTGTACACAGATCCTGCTGCCAGGATATTTGTCGCAGAATAGCATAGTTTTGGGTGTCCTCCAGAACAGAACATTCTCTTTGGATAATGAAGATTAGAACAATTAATTTCACAGGGGAACAGGTATTCTCCACTGTGGGGATTTCCTTTAAGTGAGAGAAAAATATACCATTGTTTATTCCCTATAACATTTTTTTCATAATATGCTTTTGGAAGGTGAATTGAGAATATAGGAAATGGGTGATGTTCGTGATTTGTTTCATGTTGGTGGTTTTATGGATCGAATTCTGCTCCTTGCATGGTATAATTTGAGTGCAGCAACCAAACTTAGCAGTGAAAGTCCTTTACTGGCATCTCTTCAGAAAAAATATAGCGCATGAAGAACATCTTTGTTGTTTATCTGTGTGTACAGCAAATCTATTTGGTATGAGTGGTTCTCTTTGGTGATGCAGGTACAAGGATTGAGCCGGAGGATCCATCAGGTTTATCTCCTTGTACCAAAGGATGCTTTCTTTCCGTGCCATCCTGACGATCTGATCTAAGTAAAGGGAGCTGCTGTCTTTTCCCAAACTCACTGATTCTCTTCTCTAGGAGCCCAGTAGTTGCTATGTTATGAAATGGGCTCCTTTAACATTTATTTCAGGGTACTACAGGAAGTTCATTACTCTGCCACTCAAGATTGTTTCCAAAGGCTTCCATCTAAATCACCCACCATGGTATCCACTCAACTGTGAGAAGGCATAAACAGTGCCCATCTCTGAAATCTGCACCTTGTTTGCCAGTGGTGCTGTTTGAACTTTATAATGCCAACACTTATTGAGCCCTTACTGTGTGTTGGGCATGTGCTACTGAGTGCCTTACATCAAAAAGAATCTGATCATTCCTAGAATCCCAGCAGCTCAAAAGGCTGAGACAGGAAGATCATGAGTTCAAAACCAGCCTCAGCAACTTAGCGAGGCCCTAAGCAACTTTCGAGATCCTGTCTTGAAATTAAAAAAATAAAAAATAAAAAGGGATGGGAATATGGCTCAGTGGTTAAGAACACTGAGTTTAAAAAAACACCATGTCTTGGCCAAATCACTAGCATCAAACAAAAGGAAAGAAAGTGCTCAATTTTGGCCAAATAAATTTCTTCACTCTTTCCAGAGATAACCTTTGGTACTGACTAGAAGGAAGATCTATAGGCAACTCCAGCCTCTGACCACATCAACTGAAATTCAGTCCATCCCTACAGGATGACCCCTGTTCAAACTGGCCCAAAGCCATACCAACTAGCACAAAAGCTACAATAATTAGTATATTTCCGTGGCTTTCATTTTCAGGTCAAGTTTGAGAACAATAAGATTTTAAGGAGAGGAAGTATGATTTTTCCATGTCCTGTTCCCATGCTCTGGAAATCTGGTCAGAGTTCATGGTTCCGTCTCCTTTAAATGGCAAGGTATATCTAAGCCTGTCAGCTTCCACTAAGTAAATCAGTATCTCATGAGAACTGGCAGCTCATTCTGGGCAAGGTACTGTTACTTGGGCTTCTCAAGAAAAATGGCATTTCTCCCTTGGGAAAGGTCAAAATCATTCATTCATTCAGTCTTAGACATTTATTAGTCACTTGTCAAGCACTGTGGTAGGCCTGGGAATACTGTAGGGGGGAGTGACAGGAACACGGTCTCTGCCTTGCAAGAAAAAGGCAGTCAATAAATAAGGAGAAAAGAGATGTTTGTAGAATATGGCAGTTATGAAGGGCACAAGCTGAGCTGTGAAGTGGAGCATGTGGATGTCAGCATTGTACTGAAGGCTGTTCTGAGAAGGGGACTCAGAGGTTTTTTGTTTTGTTTTGTGGTGCTGTGGGTGGAACCCAGAGCTTCACACATGCTGGGTGTTGAGAGCCACAGCCGAAGGGGCCCCAGCAAACTTCCAGCTGCCGGCTGATGATTGGCTCACAGCGGCCCCAGCAACATCTAGCTGATTGGCTCCTCTGCAGTGATGCTCATTGGGCTGTTTCCCTGCCCTTTCAGACCACGGAGCTGCTCATTGGGGGACTTTTTTGGCTCCGCCCACGTGACCCAGCCAATCGGCCTCAAGAGCAGGAGGATTGTGGGAGGTGGAGAGAAGCTTGTGTGGGAGAGAGAGGCTTGTGGAAAGCCAGTGGTGGCAGTTGAGGCTCTGAGGGTTTTTCCTGAGAGGCTGTTTTGTTTGGCGTGTGTGGTTCTAAAAATAAAGTTAGTTTCTTTTGACAAGTGGCTCCTGATTGTGCCCAGCCAGACTGTGGCAGCTGGGCAAGTGCTTTGCCACTTTTTAAAGTTCTAAGCCAATGGAGAAATAAGATTTTTTTTTTTAATCATCAAGTAAAAAATTAAATGGCACCTTATTACTGATATTCTAGGTTAGAAGTTGTAACTTAGTGTGAGGGCCATTGTTGGTATGGTGTCCAAGATGGCTATAACAATCTCTCCCGTCCTAAATGCTCTTCTCACAATGTGACATTGACACTCCTCCCATGGAGGGATGAGGTGCATGTTCCTTCCCTTTGTTTTCTCAGTCTGGAAACATAGCCTCACATGTTCTGGGCAAGCACTGTACTACTAGGCTAAACCCCCAGTACAGCTCCCTCTCTTACAGAGTTCCAGGAAGCCTGGGACTCTGGTAGAAATGATTTAATATGACATCTGAGACCAGTACAGTTGCTTCCTGGTTCTCTTGGACTCTCTGAGAATCCAGTCTCTGGTGCTGTGAAGGAGCCCAAGCACCCCCCTAGAGAGTCCCACACAAAGAGGGACCTGGCCCCTGCCTCCCAGGCCCAGATGAGCTCCCTACTAGCACACAACTAGCATCAGTTTGCTGGTCATGAGCCTAAGCCATTCTGAAGAGCCTTCAAGTCAACTTACTCCAGCTAATGCCACACTGAATTAAGATGAACTGTCCCTAGGGAGTCCTGTCCAAATTGCACATTAGTGAGTAATTTAATGAATTTATTTAGTTAGTTAGTTTTTGGCGGACATAACATCTTTGTTTGTATGTGGTGCTGAGGATTGAACCTGGGCTGCATGCATGCCAGGCGAGCGCGCTACTGCTTGAGCCACATCCCCAGCCCCGAATTTTTTTATTTTTGTTACAGGGATTGACCACAGAGCTTCATACATGCTAAGCAGACAGACATTCTATCACTGAGCTATACCCCAGCCAATTTCTATTATTTTCAGGCTAACAGGGTTTTTTTTTGTTTTTGTTTTTGTTTTTGGTTTTTTTTTTTTAATGGGGGGTAATAATTTAAACACTATTCCAGTCTGGACTTTTACCTAAGGGAAAATTTGGATCTGTAAAATAAACACACTTCCAGTTTCACTTTGGAGTTAAAAATTTTGTTAGATTAACTCTCCCTGGTGGATTAAAGTGGCTCAGTGGCTACAGCCCTGAGGACAAGCATTCATTCCAGTTTGCAAGTTTTGTACTTTCAGCAAGAAAAGTTCCATGTCCTAAGCCCTCCTTTAGTTCCAAGGAAACCAGGACAGGTAGTCATCCTAGTTGCCTCCATCCAAGTAGCTCATCCTACCTTCATGAGGAGGAAGCTGATGGTGGACAGAAGCTGCAGGCATCTAGAGACAATTCTCCCTGTTGGAGAGTGTGATTGGAAAGACTGTTCCCTGAACAGTACTCTGGAACTACAAGCCAAAGGACTTAACCATACAAAAATCAACCAATCCCACCCTGGGAAGAAGAATACCAAATACCAAGCTCTGGAAGAAGGAAAACTGGAATGACTGGAGCTACTGAGTTTGGACAGATAGAAGGTAATGCAGTTGGTGAAGTAGCCAGAGGCTGATCAAGAAGGGCTCTGTAGAGTGCTCGCCTAGCAAGTGTGAGGCCCTGGTTTGATTCTCAGTACCACATAAAAATAAATAAATAAATAAAAGGTAATGTGTCCAACTACAACTAAAAAAATAAATATAAAATATACATATATACATATGTGTGTGTACATATGTATATATACACACACATATGTATATATGACCTCTGACACATATGTATGTATGACCTCTTCTGTCCCTTCCCTCACCACTCCGCACAGCTTTTGCACCCCCTCCTTCCCATACACACACACCATTTTTATTTTTTGGGCCATTACCCCATATTCCTTATTGCTACCAAAACCACAGGCTGGGGCTGGGGCTGGGGCTGGGGCTGGATGGAAAGATACCTCCCCCCTACCCATACCCCTCCTGTG